CATATGAATTCATACAACGAAAGCATGTTGGTGATTGTCTCATCTATGGTGTGTGCGGCCTTGAGCAGTATGATCTTGGGGACTTTTATGTGCGTTCTCGTGATATTATCTCGAAAGCTTCAAATAAATCCAGGTTGGTGTGTTTAAAGTCGTTTTTTTTGTTTGGCCCTAGTAAAGCTTTAATTGAGACGATTAAATACTTGATCAGATAATATCGCATGCCCAATGGCTTCATCACTTGGAGATTTGCTTACATTAATTATTCTCGCGGTCTGTGGTGAATTTCTTTTGCAATATCTTCGTAAGTTGCAATTGTAAACGTTCGTGCGCATGCATTTTATTTTTTTATCTATTTACAATAATTTTTTTTTCAGATAGCTGGACTAGCACCATAATTTTCTTTGTTCTAATGGTCAGCATACCTTTATGGATGTGTATGGTTCGTACTAATAAATATGTACGGGATTTATTGGTGAATGGATGGACACCCCTGTTCATCGCTATGATTATTGCAAGGTATTTTATTCAATGAATCATTTGACTTTTTGCTTGGCTCGTCGCACCATGATGTCTTACACACTTGACGTTAATTGATGATAGCATAGCCGGTTTGATTCTAGAAGGATACATTGAACAATATAATGGACTTGCACTTTTAACGCCTGTTCTTAGTGGTATTTAACTCGACCATTTCATTTTGCACATAATCTATTAAACCAAGATTTTGTTAACTGTTTTCATATTTTCAGGTATCGCTGGTAACATTGGATCCATATACGCATCAAGGATATCCACCCACCTTCATGGCGGTGGGGAAGAATCCTATCGCCGATCTGAACTAATATTATTTCTGATTCACATCCCGGTTGAACTCTTGTTTTTAATATCCGCTTCGTGGTTTGACGTTGGGCATGTTAATCTCACATTGGATTTTTCATTGATCTATTTGTCTATCTCGGTCATTTGTGTACGTATTTCATGCGAAAGTAGTCGAGGATTGATGGTGAATGGATTGGCACGATTAATCTTTAACTTTTTATTTCAGATAATATTCACGCTGGTGTTTGCAAGGAGATTGACCCTTTGGCTTTGGCATCATAAATACGATCCTGATAATTATTCTTTACCATATATGTGAGTTATTAAATTTTAGAACATGTTAATACGAAACTCTCACACTAATCTTCGCTTTTTCGTTTTAGCACCTCCATCGTTGATGTTGTGTGTACTGGATCATTGGTGTTATCGTACTGGGGGTTGTCATCTTTAAGTCAAAGATCCGCTACAAAATCTGGCATTTTGATAGACATTGATCGGTTTTAATGAATAATAATGAATATTAGCATCCAATTTATTTTGGCTATTGGACATTCAAAAAAAAAAAAAAAAAAGTATTAAAGTAGATATTAAATTTTTGTAATTATATCCAAATATAAAGTGTTAAGCAGAAAAAATCGTAACTAGAAATTTCTTTACCGTAAGACCTCAATAATGATTGATGTCGCAAAGGAATTGTCGCTTTGTGAATGGGCAAATGGTTTTAAAGGAATAAAACAAATCTCCTGTTCAATCGCTGAATTGGTTACATTTTCAATAACCTCTTCGGCACGCAAACGGAGAATATCAAAAAAATTTCATTTTTTCCAAAAAATCTGTCCATGGTGAAGAGTATGCATGCGATCTTTCGGGGTTCTGACCTCGTCGATGCGTATATGTTACTCGATTGTCACCACTGAGTGTATATTTTTGGGAAATCTTATTGTCAATAACTGTCTACTCCAAATTTTTCGGGTAGGACGGCCAAAACATTTTCGAACTACGCTCAATTTCTTTGATAAATTTATTGAAACTACGTTGCATTAAGAGATATATAAAATTTATAATGAATTTCATTTAATTTCAGATGCAACTCTTAAAATTTAATTGCATAGTCAAACGGATTAGAATAGGGCTTTTGGTGTGAAAAGATCAAGGAATTTCTGAACTCTCAACAGTTAATTAGTAGCGGTTACATCTTATGAATACAAGATTAAATTATATGAAGGCAATTAAAATAATGATTTGATTTTCTAGAATGTATTACAATATTTGCATTGTCCTCAATTGTTCAACAGCCATTCGCATGTCTCCGTCAATAGTTTCATTTCCTTTTCCTTTACAAAATTCTCAATGCGCGCAATCAATTTTACGAGCTCCTCTGTCCTAGATGTAAGCTGATACTCTCCACCACAATTACATTCCTGAGACATATGTCCCAGCTTAGAACGTTTGCATTTAGAACATTGAAGGTCCTGCCCGTGGAATTTTTCGACTTGATCGTTGACATATTCTAAAAGTGCGAATTCTATTCGTTCTAGATTTAATTCGGTTTCGCAATTGATACAACTTAGGTGTATGATGTCAATAGCTTGAACGCATCCGCAATCTTTGCATTCTATGTTTCCAATTCTCAAGTTGTCACCAGGCATCAAGTCTGCATTATCCACGTACGCACTGGATTTCAAGAGATCACAACAATTTCTCTTGACCTTCATCGCTTCTTCCTTACCCCACAAAATTTCCAAAACTTCACAGATCAAGACCGTAAAGTTTAGGCCTTCCTTATAATTTTCTTGAGCGTTGTCTACTTCTTTGATCGTATCTCTCTTTAATTCCTGTCTTATCACTTCCGAATGAATAGGTGCCTTGATCAGGCTAAAAATTTTGTCGATCAGATAGTTAAAATTTTCATGTAATTGCTTAGGAAGTAATTCCTTAATTTCCCATTTCTTGGTTGAATAACTGGGATGGTTTAACAATGTACCACTGTAATTATTTGGACTCATCCAAAGAAGATTTTCCCATGTGTTCTTGAATTCCAACTCCAAGGATTTAAAGACTGGCTTTTGTTGAATATATGACTTAAGGGAGTCACGATATGTTGTAGCCAAGTCCGGATGCTTCTTCGATGAAGCTACAATAATTCTATAAAAATTGCTATAGACTATTTTATCTCCGAGATTATTAATCTCGGCCATGAGCTGCATGATCTAAATTTCAATTGTTGATAAGAAAGGTTAATATTCTCAAAGGCTGATATTGTAAAACCCCAAGCGAAGTATTAAACCTGACATTTACCACTTTTTTCATCAAAAGTCGAACCGTTCCGTATATATATCGATCATAAAACTTTGATTGGCTCGTTCTCAGCCAAGATTCCAAATTATGAATTAGCACATTAGCAAATTCGTTTTGGGCCTGATGTCTTTCGGCCTGCCAATCTTTAATCATTGACTTCAAAGCGGAAAAGGTGGAAGGTGACATCTCATCCCCGAAAATTTGCGCGGAACCCTCAATTTGATTGATTGATGAAGATTCAATTATCGTATTCAATATCAAGTTCTTTGGTTGAATTTCAAAGCACAGATTTCTGTACACTCCGGGGTTATTAGAGTAAAATTCATAATCTAATTCGTCGACGTGATGTAAGTATTCATCTTGTTCATGGCCTCCAAAATCGGGTTTGCATGACTTGGACCACCAAAGAATAATGTCACCCTTGATCAATCGCCGGGCAAATAATATATCGGCAATGAATATACTGCTGTCATCGGAAATATTGCACAAAGGCAATTGTGCATATCTGGCCTTTTTAATTCGGTCTCTAATTATCGAACCGACTTGCAAGTACTTGATGATCATCATCTCAAATGCACGTTCTTGCCAATCAAATGTTAATGAAGAATGAGTCGAACTTATTTTCATGATGGGAAAGTCTAGCAAATTCTTTGCCCCCTCGTTGACCAAATGATGCAAACTGTACGGCGATTGTATAACCAAGATAGTTGGTCCACATTTTTCTTGTTGATATTTCTTGATTTCTCTGTTTAGTGTAATTCCAAATGATTTTGAATCTTTGACATGAAGCGATACTTCGAATGAGAGCTCGTCATGAATTCTAAATACGTCGTCAAAAACTTCAAACTCATTCTTCCTGCTCTCCAGTAAACTCCTATATCTTCCGGACAGATTTTTCGTTCTCAAGCTGTCATTCCCAAACTTTTTACCCAGAATAAAAATGCGAACCTTGTTACTAAAAGTAGAAAACAACCCATATGCATGGCAATCTCCGAGCATGATGTGAGCTAAATACAAAAAATTAATCGACCATTCTCCTTCAAGGTACAAATTGAAGAGAGGATTCTCCGATCTTTCGATATCACGGATATCTAATCCTTTTCGAATCGCGACTTTCAACACATTCGGTTTTGTGGTGTGTTTATTGATGATACATCCGATTTCGATTAGCGCACGATCCAAGGGAGTGACCTGTGTCTCATAAACACCTTCGGTAAAGGGATCGTTAAAAATATTGAGGAGCAAGCTCAAATTTTTTTGATACGTGTACTCCAACATAACCACTTCAAATAAGTTAAACCGCTCGCGAGACCTTGGCAGAGTACGATTAACTTTATTGATGCTCCCTTTGGCATTAATCATTTCTTCGATTTCTGCTGGGATGGTATTTGATTTGTAATTGATATAAAATTTTCGGGGAACGGTAAGACGAACCTTCTGAAACTTTTGTCCCGAAAAAATCCACATAAAAAACTCTCCGGGCGTTTCTGTCTCATTTATCTGAAGGATTTCCCATGAATTTTCTTTGTCTATAAAGGCTTCCATCAAACACTTATCAACGGCTTGCTTTTCGGCGTTTCGTTTTTTTTTACCTTTAATAGGGCGGCTTTGTTCACCAACCTTATAACGTTTGGAATTCGCCGATTCTTCCGGTTTATCATCATCGGCCCTCCTGCGTTTAAAGGTCGGATCATCATTATCACCAAAAACTTGAGAGGGTTCGTCAATAGCCATTGGATCTTCAATCACTTCATTCGCGACTAATTCCATCTCAGTCGAATTTCCGCGTTCAACTTCTAGATCGTTGTTTTCCACGTTAATGACGTCATCGCCATTCAACTTTTTAACCGGCTCCTCTGTTACAATTAAATCTGATCGCTGCACTTGAACTACACTTTGAATATTATAAGTTTCCATATCGAGAGCACCGCTGGATTTTGGTTTTGCATCATTCACTGCCCTCTTAACCACCGGCATACGTAACAGACCACCTTTAAAGTTTCCGAAATCTTCGATGTCATCTATTATCATGGTTGTTTCGTTTTCATTTAGCGCATTATGGGTTTGAAAATTGCTTTTTTTCAGATCCAAACCACCAAAAGCGTCCTTTAAGGCATTCAAAGATGAAATAGGTTCTTTAAAAAGGTCGGTGATCCGACGTTGTCGTTGTTTTTCATTTTTTTCGATCAATTTTTTGCACAGCCACTCTGGATGTTTTAGTCTTGGGACAGGATTCTGGACATTCTGAATCGCAGCCGGAATCGTGATGAGCTTCTGAATTGTTTTTCCTATGCGTTCATGATAATAGTTCCAGTCCAATATATTGCGTATGTCAAAGTCATCCATATTGGGGTCGGCGATCCATTTTCGTAAAAATTTCTTTTTGATGTGATCGGGAGACGAAAATACTGCTATCGGAATGACTCGCTCACTAACCGCCAATGCTGGCGGTTTCTCTGAAATAATAAAATGGCAAGTCAATTTGTTGACTTTGAAATCAACCCCCAAGAGTTCAACCAAACGTTTCGCCGCGGTAATCGACGTGGACTTTTGTTCCCCGTAATCATCATAAGAGCGCGACATACTCCTTTTTTCACTGAAAAAGTCTATCAACTCTTTTTCAGTGAGGGTGTACCCCCTTAGTTCTATAATATCCAAGAAAGCGTTTGCGACTTTTCCGACCTCGCCGTAGCATTCTTCTAATGTATTCCCTTTGAGAAAAACTTGGAATATGACTTCCTGAAAGTTTTTCAGCAGTTTAAGTTCACCCCGTCTTTTTACTTCGAAGCCCTTCAATTCCTGCAGACTACCATCACGAGCAAATACCGCATAACGTTTCTTAAGGCGCTTATTTTCTTCCAACGACGAAGGCAATATCATGGCACGATAAGGTCCATCAACCTCGAAGAATATGCTATTCTCTGTTCTGGATTCGTACTTATTCGTCTCTTCCGACAACGTGTGATATTGATCATTGGTAAAGTTCAAATGTACCAGGTAATTCAACATCGTACATGGGTAGGATAACGAAAAAGATTTTCCTGATACCATGTTCAACTTAAAATTTTCCGGAAAATTGGAAGGGAATATGCACCAGATACCATCCGTATCAAGCTCGAGCGGCCTACCAATTTTTTCAACCAATTGCCTAGCCATTTGAATGATTTTCGATCCAGTTTCGCATACAACACCAGCCATTTCCATTGAATACCACCGGGAACCTTTTCGCATGACATAACCATAGAAAGAGTTGAGAAGGCATTTATGAGCCAATTGCAGAGAGTCATATATCACTATCATATTCTCAGCTTCCTCGATCTTAGCGAGATCTTCATCATTGATGGCTTCCCGTAATTTCTTTTTCCAATCCTTGACATCACCCTTGTACTTATACCTCCGATCACGAAAGCTTAACACAGTGTTCACATAAAATGGATTTTCACGTTGACAAATTGTTGACTCCCTATGTTGCACTTCGGTCACTTTTTTCCTCTTATATGCTTTCTGACAATAATCACCAAGACGACTTTTTAAAATTGATGCTTGTTCTTCCGAGGACAACTGATAATATGAACGTGGCTCTTTTGAATTCTTCGAAGGAAATTCTTCAGACATAAGCTGATTCTTAATCATATTGTATTCATCTTTCTTTGCGGGAAAAAAATCTCCACGCCAAGACCATGTCAGTTTACGGTCGCAATTCTTCCCGGGGAAATTGTAGTCGCATCTGAGACAAACCTCCTCAGTAATCATGGAATCGGGTTGAAGTCTATTTGTAAGAATAATATTCGGATACATGGCAGCGACATCCAAATGGTAGATTAGAGGCGTTTTTTCGAATGATTGCTTGCAATCTCGAAGTTCCTCTAGCGCAGTCAAAATCTGCGATCGAACCTGTGAAACGCTAAATTAATCATATATTTTTTTAATATTTTTCATTAAACAATAAATCTTTACTAATGTTTTTACTCATCCTCACCTCATCGTAATTTGTTATTTCGTTCAATTTCTCAGATATGATTTCGTATAGAGTCTAAACAAAAAAAAACACACGTTATTAAATGTTTTTTCTGGGCGCGTGAATTCGGGAACTCACTTGGTCGTGAATTCTAAAAGCAGTATTTTTTAAGTTCTCATCGGTTTCCCTAAACGTCTCCCAAATCGAAAACTTCAGAATGTCATCTACTTCGGATATTAGCTAACAATATCAAATAATCAGTCAACCGAGAGCGCAAAGATTAACATTTTGTCAAAATTAAAACAATTTGTTAAATTTTATTACTTTCTGAATTGCTTGAGGGTCAATGGTAAAGTTCACAGGTATATCTGATCTAAATATCCCGGCCTCTAAGGCGTCAACATGACCACCCACATATGTCTCATCTTGAAGAGGATGATCCTTATAGAATCTTTCTTCATGATCTTCATGTTTATTTGGCATGATTATGTTGGCTCGATACGCTTCCACCTACCATTCATCACCCAAGCATCAAATACATAATAATTTATTAATTAAAGAGTCAAAGCATAAACATAATAGTTAACATTAACATTATTATTTTAGTTACCATTAATAATGCTTCACATAGAGTTCCGGTGCCTTTTCTGAGAATGTCGTCGGGATTCATTGGAATAATGTTGCAAAGTGAAAAGATGAACGGATGAATATACTTAAGATAAAGATAATACGTAGCCACAGCGTCAGAGACAGAGTAGCGTGCCAACGTCTGTGGATGATCTCTTGCATATCTATGTAAAAAGTACTTAAACGATTAAGTTTAAAGACACCCTAAAGAAAAAAAAATGACGAAGCATTTACTCACTCAGTCATAACTTCGGGATCCAATTCGTCAGGATTATAACCTAACTTTGCTTCGGTTACACGTTTCAGACCCTGACTACCGATAGGAAGATAACTATCCCTTTTAACCCAGTAAAGACAATCAATGTGCACACAATGCTTGCTCGTATATTCATCATCGTCATTATTTCCTCTATTCCCCTTGAATCCAATTTCCTTTAAAAAAAAGGTAGATGAGAAATTGTTCTCGAAGTGAACGTCTTCTAACTATATGACAACATATGACAGTAATATTACTTTATGCATGTCGATTCCATAAATTTCCGCCCGCTTTTCGACAAATGGCCAATCGAAAGTGTCTCCGTTATAAGTTGTGATGATTGTTGGTCTTTCCGCACGAATTTGATTGAAAAAACGTTTGATGACAGCTTCCTATGATCATCAATTTCGACCAGATTAGTTACCGGTTGAACCGATCAGTGGAAAAATAACACTTTTTACTTCAATAATTACCTCATTTTGTTCATTAAATATATGAAAAAGACTTGCGTATTGTGCATAAGGAGAATATTCAATTTCCTCAATATCTTCAGAAACAATGTCACGATTCGTGATGAGAAACCCCTATTTAAGGTATATGAACGCTAAATTTACAATGAAATATGTTAAAGTACTCCTTAGAAATTTACCTTCCCATTGACCATAAATGAAATCATCATAATAAAATCTTGGTTTTTATCAGGAAAGTTGAGCGGTTTCTTTGTTGTTTCGATATCAAAGGCGAGTATAACTGGTTCAATACGGTGCTTTAAATCCTCTCGATGTCGCAATGAAACTTGAACCCCATCATCCTGAGGAACGGCAGTGACAACGTACCACTGCCCAACTCTAATATCTGCGGGACGTGGACGAGTTTTATAACTAGTTCGATAAAATATTTCATAAAATTTTTATATTCGAGGCATTTTTACCTAGATCCATCGCGACACGTTGATAGTAAGGTATATCACATTCTCGAACGTCGATTATAAAGTTTGCAGATTCATCAAGTGATTCAGATTCTTTATATTTTTTTCCATGTGTACTACATGATACGGGATGGAACATGTGGAAATTTGTCTAATCAACAAATAATGAAATATCTCAAAGATTACATCGTTACCTTGCATGATCCTTATAAACGTTAATGGCATCCAATTTCTTTTGATTCTCTTTCGCGATGCGCAATAATTTATTTCTAACAAATAACAAATCTGGAACATTCCAAAATTCAAGCTTAACATAATCCCGTTTTCCATCAATCAAATGATTCGCCTACATTCATGTTGATACATTCCAGATATGATTAGAACACAAAAGATAATAATACATAGACAATCTGTGACGAATTTTTTTTTTTTTAAACCTTCTTTAGGTCTTGTTTGGAGACGATAGAACTCTTGTATATGTGTTGATCGTACGTCCTCCTCAAATACTCTATCACTTCGTTTTCTTTCCCTGGCTGTTAAAAAATAAGAAAAAGGATCAAAAAAAAATAGAATAGGATAGTCATAAATTTTCGTTGAAAAATATATACCTGACTTTGTACATAAAAATAAGGATTGTATTCTACAGTACAACTAAAGTAGGACTTGACCTCTCCTTTCTCTCCTTTGGGCTCAATGAAAAATAAGTCGACGGCGGATTTACCGGATTTATGCCGTTTACTTGGCAAGGAGGTCTAGTAATAAGATAAATGAGAAGTAAAATTCAGATTGGACAGACGATATCGCGAACCAAAACCTTTATGGACCCACGTAAAGCTAACCTTACTCATATTAATCAGCCAGCCCAGGCGTGAACCACCGTGTTCATATTTTTCAAACCCAAGCTTTTTGAGAATAGCATTCTCCTGTTCAATTTGCAAGGCACGTTTTTTGCCTTCGAACTTATCTTTGCTTCTTTTCTGCAAGTTACTCATTGCCAACACAAACAAGGAATTACCGAGAGGTATACACTCTTTATTGTTATTAAGTCAAAAAAGATAGAATGAACAGTAAGATAATAAATATCAAGGCCGACTCCTTAAATCTATTCAAGACGCGTCTTTGAAAAAACGTGTCTTGTACGACAACCAATAACCATTTTAGGTAATTGTGATCAAAAATCGAGTCCTTATATACTGTATTACTCTTTATTGGATAATTAATTCACTTATACCACTTGTTGTTTCTACTGCTGTTTTACACGACATACTGTATATACAAAACAATGTCCTCGTATTAAGGCATCTGATAAATAGTGTATAAAGAAAGTTGCATGTGTACAATGAAAGTTGAAGTAAAAAAATGGAAAATATTCAAATGTCCTGGTCGTCCTCTTAGATCATCAGAAACGAAACTAAACCGATTCATTTGGTTGGTATCAATAAGCCAAGTGAACACTTTTAATCGGGAAAGAAAGTCTATCTACGAATCTTCGTAACGTTCAACCCTTTGATCATAGAATGCGAATTAATTCGCGTCATCTATTTGATAAGGGATGAATTCACTCCTATAAACCGACTGCACGTTTTTATTTTCTATATTTTTAACGATAGCATCGGATTTAATCAATTCCTCCATAATTTCTTCATCATTCAGCCATCTTATTAGGATTTCACAAATTTCTAAGGCGGATGGACGATCGTCGGAATTTCCATCCCAGCATCTTTTCATGAGATCTATATAACATTGCGGTGTACCTTCAATGATAATTGGTCGTAAACCGTTACACACTTGAATCTGAAATTCGGATCTAGGTTCGTGTCTAAAAGGTACAGCCCTTCCCGAGAAGATTTCCCACAAGATTATGCCAAATGAGTAAATATTTGATTTCGTAGTACACGGACTGCCACGCAAAACCTCAGGAGCTACATATGGTAGAACCCCATAAACCCCATCAAGTTGCTTACTGGCCATGAATGAGAAGCCCAAGTCTGCAATAAATGCGCTATCTAATTTGTCCTGTATCAATATGTTGCCACTGTGTAGATTCTGATGAATAAGATTTCTTGAATGAATTGTCTGAAGATCGGTAACAATACAAAGCAACAAATTTATTTTCTTTTTCCATCCCATCCGCCCTGTTGAAATAAGATTTTTGCGCAACGAATCTTTCGGCGCATATTCCATGACGAGAATATAGTTTTCAGAAGTGACATCCTTTGATATACCGTAACACCGCAAGAATGTAGGGTTTTCATAACCAATATTGCAATAACCATTTAACTGCTCGAGAAAATAATTGAATTAATCAACCATGATTTTTTTAGCGATCCAAAAATTTAAAGAATTACTAACCGCTTCTATAAACTCCTGGTCTGATATACGGAGTAATTTGAGTGCAACGCGTCGACCATGCCACAGAGCGAAAAATACGGTGGTATATTCACTCCGCCCTATCTCCGTGATGTTTTTGAATTGATTATAAGGAATCCAGAATAATGGATACTTGCTTTTAGACAATGTCATTTTTACTTGAGCTTCGCGCGAACGATACCCTTTAATTGGGACTAAAATAAAAGACTTTGAATTTAGACATAATGTTTTTGCTTTTTTAAAAAAAGTTAACGATAGACAATAAATACAATTACTACCTGGCTGTTGAAATTCCCTGGTTGCATATTTATTATTTATAAAAATCATCGATGGTAGTAACGATTATAGATAAATTAAAAATCAGATCGCTTACTTTTCACACTTTTCATACCAATGCTTAGCCATCTGCGGGTTCATTTGAGTTCCAATTCCATTTCGATAAAGTAGAGAAAGAACGGCCATTCCAGTATTATGTCCCAATTCAGCTGATCTTTTATAATATTCGAATGCCTTATGTTTATTCTTTTTAACTCCAATTCCGTTTTCATAAAAATATCCAACATTATATGTTCCATCCGCGTGACCCATCTCAGAAGCTTTTTTATAATACTTGAACGCCCCGAGTTCGTCCTTCTCACATCCGATTCCCTTATAATGAAAATCACCAGCATAATATGTTCCTTTGACGTGTCCCATCTTAGCAGACTTTTGATAGTATTTCAAGGCCTTATACTCATTCTTCTCAACTGTAATCCCTTCACTATATAAAGTACCCACTCGAAAAGCCCCATCAACATTCCCCATATTAGCTGATTTAAGATAACATTGGAATGCCAATTCACGATCTCTTTTAAAAACTTCTTCTATAAAATAGCCAGCCTTATAAAATCCATTTGCATTACCAGCCGCGGCGGATTGTGAGTAATAGCAAAACGCCTTAGATCTACTCATTATGACCCCAATTCCCATTTCGTAAAAATACCCGGATTTATATGCTCCTTCAGCGTGCCCCCCATGAGTTGACTTTAGATAATAATCCAATGCCTTAGTTGCACTCTTTCTAGTTCCAATTCCTCTCTCATAGAAGCAGCCGACATTATACATCCCATTTACATTTCCCATCTCTGCTGATTTTTTATAATACTTAAATGCCTTACGTTCGTCCCTCTCAACTCCAATTCCATTTTCGTAAAAATGGCCAACCTGATATGATGCATTTGCATGACCAATATCCGCGGATTTTTGGTAATACGTAAATGCGTTATGTTGGTCCTTTCCAACCACGATCCCCGCATCATAATAACAGCCTGTCTTATACGCTCCTTCGGCGTGTCCCAGGTCAGCTGACTTTTGATAATATTCAAATGCTTTATGTTCATCCTTTTCAACTCCGATTCCATTGAGATAACAACTAGCAACAGCAAACGTTCCATTCACGTTACCCAACACAGCTGATACTCGATAGTATCCGAACGCCTTACGTTCATCCTTTTCAACCCCGATCCCCTCGTAATGACAATCACCGACTTGTGATATTCCATGAGAATCCTCCATTTCAGCCAATTTCTGATAATATTCGAACGCCTCGCGTTCATTCTTTTCAACCCATTTGCCATAACGATAACAACTAGCTAGAATGTTTTGCGTTATAAGATTTATTTCATCACTTAAGAACCAGTTGATGATGTCCTCTGGTTTTTGCTGCTCTTTTTTTATGTATTTATCCATTAGATCAAGTATTAATTTAATATCCTTTCCTTTCGACCTCTCTTCGACATATTGATCACATAACTTTTTGCCTGTTTTCCGCAACTTAAAATCGTGTATCATTAAATCGAGTTTCATCACGTATGATTGCATCTTTTACTAATCGTTCTAAAACTATTCACATAAGAATTGCTGTATATCGCGATATGATTATCTATTTATTGGAAAAACAACACGTACGAATTAACAAAAAGATTATATATACAATCGTGTCATATGTTGGAAGATCTCTTCCATTTGGTCATCGTGTAACAACAAGGGTGATTTTTCGAACTTCTATTCGGCAATGTTTTGTTTGGTCATGCCACTCGATCGCCTAAAAAAGACAAATAATGAGATCTTGTGAATAACATAAATTTTCAATTATCATACACAATATACAGTAACTACGACTTAAAAAATATTTACAAACACGGTATATATTTTTATATTTAACAAACATGATATCAAATTTATCGAATAATTAATAATATTGCTAAAATCCTTTTATTAAATAAACAATCGTACTCGTATAATAATAATTAATTTACGATATACGCCTAATCGGGTTTTTTTAAGTATAGTATATTATAAAAAATTATGAAAAAAAAAAATCATATCATGAATTTATAATGCTAAACCATTCATACTGTATGCCAAATTTTGTATAAACTGTATTTTATTTAAATATTTTAAATATACGTATTTTGTATATATATACGGTATATTGCAATTTTTATTTCAATTTAATTTTAATAATAATATATACAGTATATATAAGATATTTTTAATTTTTTTTAATTGTTATATTTTATTTTATAATATTTAAAATCAAACCGAAATTATTTCTGTATATGGCTGATTCTTTTTGAAAACGACAAAAATGTTATACGATTTTTTGATCATTATTTTTTGAACAATACATATA